CTCAAAAGTTTGAGCAAGAATGTATAATGCTCTTCTATCAGGATTCTGCAAAATAAGATAACTGCACTAAATATTTTGGTGTATTCTAGTCCATCTACATCAGCTCTTATCTCTATATTCCCCTTCTTAGTATCTCTATCTCACATTTTTTGTCATACACATAACAATAACTGGTAGCAAATATTGCATAAATGCATGACAGTGCAGTAGGCTAATACTACAGGCAAGTTCCCATATCCTGACTCCTTCATCCTTGCCACTTGAATACTTAAGTAGAAATATGGCATAACAATAGTGGATAACGGATTTCCCTGTAGCTCAGATGGTAAAGAATCTGCCTGCAATGCAGGAGACCCGAGTTTGGTCCCTGGGTCAGGAAGATCCCCTGGAGAAAGAAATGGTAACCCATTCCAGTACTCTTGCCTGGAGAATCCCATTGGCAGAGGAGCCTCATGGGTTACAGTCATGGGTCACCAAGAGTCAGACACGACTGAGTGGCTTTCTCTCTCTCTCTCTAATCGTGAATATCACTGTATTTCTAAGGCAGAGAACATATGGGTCATAGGTTGTATAGCTACATTCATAAAAAAATAGTGTTCAGTAATCCAATAAGTACAAAGTTCTGTGATAAACACGGAAGCAGCAACTTTCTACCTTCCTGAAGAGCTCTGGCTTTAGACATCTGCTAAGAACCGAAGAGTTCACTCATTGGAAAAGACCCTGATGCTGGGAGGGATTGGGGGCAGGAGGAGAAGGGGACGACCGAGGATGAGATGGCTGGATAGCATCACTGACTCGATGGACATGAGTTTAAGTAAACTCCAGGTGTTGGTGATGGACAGGGAAGCCTGGTGTTCTGCGATTCATGGGGTTGCAAAGAGTCGGACACGACTGAGCTACTGAACTGAACTGAACTGAACTGAATGAACCAGGTAGCAATGCCACTCTAAACTTAGAACATCACTATTCCTTTCTGTCTGTCAGATTCCCTTATGTAAGACAGAAACTTCAGCTAGAATACCTCCAAGTTCCTTTCCAGGTGATACAATCTCTCTCTATAAAATATGACCCTCCTGCTGTGTAAATCCATCCCAGTATTGGAAAAGATTTGAAAGCTGTTTAAAAAAATGAAGGGAATTACTTCATGTTCAAACTAGTAATTGGACTCTATGTGTAGGCTGTTTTAACCTTAAATAGTGGTGGCATGAAGCCATCTAGATAGTATGAGACTCAGAAGACCAAACACTTTCAAACACTACTTTTGTGTGGCCTGTTATTTCAATTCAGGAATCTACTAGCCTGCTCATAGAAGTGGATATTTACATTTATTACATTTATTAGCCCTCCAGTAAGCAAAACAGATATAAAAAGTTGTTGTTTTTGTTCTGTTGCTAAGTCGTGTTGACTCTTTGCCACCCCATGGACTGCAGCAGGAACTTTTCTTCCTCCCTGTCCCCATGGCTGGACGCCAGGCTTCCCATCCCTCGCTCTCCAAGAATTTGTCCAAGTTCATGCCCATTGAACCAGTGATGCTATCCAACGATCTCATTCTCTGCCACCCTCTTCTCCTTTTGCCTTCAATCTTTCCTAGCACCTGGGTCTTTTTTAACGAATTGACTATTCTCATCAGGTGGCCAAAGTTATTGGAGTTTCAGCTTCAGTATGAGTCCTTCCAGTGAGTACTCAGGTTGATTTCCTTTAGGATGGACTGGTTGGATCTCCTTGCCATCCAAGGGACTCTCAAGAGTCTGCTCCAGCACCACAATTTGAAAGAGTCAATAACCTCACATATGCAGAGGATGTGACTCTAATGGCAGAAAGTGAAAAGGAACTAAAGAGTTTCTTAAAGGGTGAAAGAAGAGAGTGAGAATCTGGCTTAAAACTCAACATTAAAAAACTAAGACCATTTCATCCAGTCCCATTATTGCATGGCAAACATGTTTGTCACTGCTCTCAAGCTTCTCCTGTATCATAAAAGCAATCATGAAAATATATAAATAAGTCCTGTGTCCAGCTCCAATGAAACTTTATAGATCAAGTATATTGACTGCTCCTTTAGATTAGATAAATAAGTGTATGTAAGATTGTACCTAGGAAAACTACACAGCTATTAGGATGAATAAAGTATCTTGACATACATAAGTATAGAGAAATTTCATATACCAAAAACAATGAATAAAAGAAGTTGCACATAAAAATGATTTTACTATATATGATTTTACTACTATATAACTCAAAATATCCAAATTAAAGCATCATACTGGGCATCAATGTGTGATGGATATGGAGATGATTTCTGAGATCTTAATAATGTTTTTGTCTTTTGTCTTTTTCTGGGAAAAGGGATCTTTTCATTCCTGAAAATTTATTTTCAGTATACTTTTGTAGATGAAAGTTTTCTTGATAGAGCATACTCTAAAAATGTGTTTCCACAAAGTATGTTCACTGTCAGATGGTTACTTTTTATTTTTTAAAATCTAACAGTCTCTTGTGCAAAAGAAGTGTGAATTATATGTTTTTGATATTAATGTGGTGCATAAGTTCTTGGAGTATCTCAATGTATAATGAATCTTTACATTACCTGAAGTGATGCCCTGCTTGTAGAGCAACCCTGTCTTTATGCCTCTACCAACTCCTGTAGTTATTCTCCTTGTGGCAGGGAGACATAATGAACTTTGGTACCCTATACCGCAGTGAACTCTGTATCATAATACTCCATGTTTGAGGGACAGACAACTGTGTTCTGTAAAAACAATGTCTAGGTAGACATTTACCTACAGAATTTTACTGTCACCAAGGACACCAGAAAAACCCCAAATATAGATTTTTTCCTCTTAATTGTATCTAAGGAAGACATTTTCTTCTTAAGACATGCTTTCAATTATTTTAAGATATCTATTTTTAATGAAACATAAATCTTATTGGGTGATATTTTATTTTATCCAACTTAAAATAATAAATGTAGATACTCAAACATACTGCATGATTCTACTTATGGGCAAGGCAAAGAACAGGAAAACACATGGAATCAAAAATAGATTAATGGTTTCCAAGGCTCAGGCAGGGAGGAATGGAGAGTGATAGCTAATAAGTATGAGCTTTTTATTGAACTGATGAAAAAGTCCTGGAAATAGATAGTGGTGATGACTGAACAATCTGGAAAATATATTAAAAACCAAAAAACTGTATTTATTAAAATGATGAATTCTATGCTTCATGCATTATATTTCAATATGAAAGAAAATACAACTGAAGTGTAATAATATTCCTAAATGAGGTATAGAGGGAGAATGTTTCAAAAACACATTGGAACTGGAAATGATGAAGGGGATGAACTTTTTGAGTGTCCTTAAGTTTCCTCTTTGACTAGAGAAGGGGGAGATAGTTTCAGGGTAATTGTGAAGCACACCATATTAACAACCTGCAGTGTACTTTCTACCACACATCTATTTGGTGACAAGAGTGAAACATAAAAGCTCAGCATTTGGCAAGTTGTTTGTGTATTCACAGGGGAATATACAGAAGTAGGAAAGTAATTAATGGAGTGTTTTAATAGCACCAGCACCTAAGGGTAATAGCATCAGTAATTTAAGTCATTAAGTCATATTGTACCTAGTAAAATAAAAGGTCCTCTACCTATTGTTCAGCTACCCAAGACCTGTTCATCTCAGGTAGGTTTCCAGATTCTAACTTAAAGAATATAAGAGAAAATACTTAATTTTTTGAGGAAAAAATGTAAATGAAAGATTCTGTGCTTGTTTACTTATTAAACCTGTATTTAATGACTAGAAATAATCTTTTCTTCTCAGAATCTCAGATTCTCAGAAGAATCTGTCTGAATAGCTTAATATCCACAATAGAGCATTTTATTTGTTTTATTTGCTATTGGGTCACAAAAATGCCTTTACTTCTTTTATTATTGGGCAAGTGTACACATGAATTTAAGGTATGTTTTGTTTTATTTTATTGAAGGAATACTGCAGATACCAAAACAAAAATAAAAACATGTACAAATCCATCTCCTTGTGAACCATATGTCATGATTACTTGGGCCTGGGGGTGGGGGGGAACCTATTAAACACATTCTGTTCTTGTATACATTGAAATATAAATACATGTTCAAACATAAATACACACATATAGTATAGACAGAGGTCTACTTATTTTAAAGGCATGTACTGTCCTTCATCTCATTTCTGTTTTATAATACAAAAAACTTTACAAATATGAATCAATTCAAATGTATATGGTACATTCTGTTGTCTTCACTTCCTTTTAGCTTTTTCCTTCCGCTGGTCAAGAGAGTTATCCTTGACAACAAACACTCTACAAAGAGATAATGAGCAAAGTGCAAGATAAATAATAATTTCTAGAATAGAAGAAGTAATAATTTTCTTACTTCATATCTCACCAAATACTAAACACAAGATAAACTAAAACAGGTAACAAAATTATTTTTTATTATTATTAGTCAGTAATATACTACTTCTGGAATTAAGACAAAGATTCTTCAACTAATCATGTTTTTTGAGAAACATGAATTGAAATCACTTTCTGTACCCAACTGTATATATTCAAGCATAGGAAATGCTTAGCCTTATGTCTTAGAGTATGCTGTCTCCAAAACTAATGTCTCTTCCATATGGTTTTGAACCAGTGAAGAAATGTAAATTCATTCAGATCTATGCTTTGACATTAAAAAAAAAAAAGTAAGGCTCAGCGAAGAGCTTGTAGAAAGTAATGTACTTCATAAATGACATCTAGATTTACATCAAACTTTCTCAAAGGTCTTTTTCAGATAATTTTAACTACTGTAGAATAGACAGCTATGCCTCTTTAAAGAGGGGGTGGAGGGCTAGAAAATTTCCTGACTATAAACAAATTATTACAGAAAAAAATGTTCTGCCTTATGATATTTTGCAGATGTGCAGAAATGTTACCGCATGCAAATGTCATTGTCTTGATAATATTCTCAAAAGTTTATGCAAGAACAAAGAAGAATGGATAGAAGGAATTGCTCCTCCTTGACTGAATTTATTTTCTTGGGAATTACTGATAACACTGAGAACAAAGTGATCCTATTTACAATGTTTCTGCTTGTTTATCTCATCATTCTTCTGGCAAATCTTGAAATGATGATCCTGATTAGGATGGATCACCAGCTGCACACAACCATGTACTTTTTGCTCAACCAACTCTCCTTCTGTGACCTCTGCAATTCCACAGCAATAGGGCCGAAGATGCTGGTGGACATATTTGCTAAGAACAAAATTATCCCCTTCTATGGCTGTGCTCTGCAATTCTTGGTCTTCTGTATCTTTGCAGATTATGAGTGTCTCCTGCTGGCAGTGATAGACTACGACTGGTACAAGGCCGCCAGCAGCCCCTTGCTCTATGCGGTCAGCATGTCCAGCAGGGTGTGCTCCCTGCTCATGGCTGGGGTTTACCCGGTGGGAATGGCAGATGCTCTGATGCACACGACATTAGCCTTCTGCTTATGTTTCTGTGGGCCAAATGAGATTAACCTCTATTTTTGTGTGATGTTCCTCTTCTCCTATTGCCATCTTACTCAGATACACAGGTCAATGAGCTAGTAATATTCACGGTTTTTGTCTTCATTGAACTGAGTACCATTTCAGGAGTCTGTGTTGCTTATTGTTATATTATCCTTTCAGTCTTGATGATCCACTCTGCTGAGGGGAGGTTCAAAGCTTTTTCCACCTGTACCTTCTACCTAACTGCTGCGGTAATTTTCCAGGGAACTATGCTCTTCATGTATTTCAGGCCAAGTTCTTCGTACTCTCTAGATCAAGATACAATGTCCTCATTGAGGAAAAGAAGAAGTGAAACTCTCGCTGTTTGCAGATGACATGATCCTCTACATAGAAAACCCTAAAGACTCTACCAGAAAATTACTAGAGCTAATCAACGAATATAGTAAAGTTGCAGGATATAAAATTAACACACAGAAATCTCTTGCATTCCTATACACTAACAATGAGAAAACAGAAAGAGAAATTAAGGAAACAATACAATTTACCATTGCAACAAAAAGAATAAAATACTTACAAGTATATCTACCTAAAGAAACAAAAGACTAATACATAGAAAACTATAAATCACTGATGAAAGAAATCAAAGAGGACACAAACAGATGGAGAAATATACCGTGTTCATGGATTGGAAAAATCAATATTGTCAAAATGGCTATACTACCCAAAGCAACTTATAGATTCAATGCAATCCCTATCAAGCTACCAACAGTATTTTTCACAGAACTACAACAAATCATTTCACAATTTGTATGGAAATATAAAAAACCTCGAATAGCCAAAGTAATCTTGAGAAAGAAGAATGGAACTGGAGGAATCTACCTGCCTGACTTCAGACTATACTACAAAGCCACAGTCATCAAGACAGCACGGTATTGGCACAAAGACAGAAATATAGATCAATGGAACAGAATAGAAAGCCCAGAGATAAATCCACGAACGTATGGTCACCTTATCTTCGACAAGGGAGGCAAGGATATACAATGGAAAAAAGACAACTTCTTTAAGAAGTGGTGCTGGGAAAACTGGTCAACCACTTGTAAAAGAATGAAACTAGAACACTTTCTAACACCACACAAAACTAAACTCAAAATGGATTAAAGATCTAAATGTAAGACCAGAAACTATAAAACTCCTAGAGGAGAACATAGGCAAAACACTCTCCGACATAAATCACAGCAGGATCCTCTATGACCCACATCCCAGAATATTAGAAACAAAAGCAAAAATAAACACATGGGACCTAATGAAACTTAAAAGCTTTTGCACAACAAAGGAAACTATAAGCAAGGTGAAAAGACAGCCCTCAGATTGGGAGAAAATAATAGCAAACGAAGCAACAGACAAAGGATTAATCTCAAAAATATACAAGCAACTCCTCCAGCTCAACTCCAGAAAAATAAATGACCCAATCAAAAAATGGGCCAAAGAACTAAACAGACATTTCTCCAAGGAAGACATACAGATGGCTAACAAACACATGAAAAGATGCTCAACATCACTCATTATCAGAGAAATGCAAATCAAAACCACAATGAGGTACCATTACACGCCAGTCAGGATGGCTGCTATCCAAAAGTCTACAAGCAATAAATGCTGGAGAGGGTGTGGAGAAAAGGGAACCCTCTTACACTGTTGGTGGGAATGCAAACTAGTACAGCCGCTATGGAAAACAGTGTGGAGATTTCTTAAAAATCTGGAAATAGAACTGCCATATGACCCAGCAATCCCACTTCTGGGCATACACACCAAGGAAACCAGATCTGAAAGAGACACGTGCACCCCAATGTTCATCGCAGCACTGTTTATAAAAGCCAGGACATGGAAGCAACCTAGATGCCCATCAGCAGACGAATGGATGAGGAAGCTGTGGTACATATACACCATGGAATATTACTCAGCCATTAAAAAGAATTCATTTGAATCAATTCTAATGAGATGGATGAAACTGGAGCCCATTATACAGAGCGAAGTAAGCCAGAAAGATAAAAATCATTACAGTATACTAACACATATATATGGAATTTAGAAATATGATAACGATATCCCTATATGCAAAACAGAAAAAGAGACACAGATGTATAGAACAGACTTGTGGACCCTGTGGGAGAAGGCGAGGGTGGGATATTTCAAGAGAACAGCATCGAAACATGTATATTATCTAGGGTGAAACAGATCACCAGCCCAGGTTGGATGCATGAGACAAGTGCTTGGGCCTGGTGCACTGGGAAGACCCAGATGGATCAGGTGGAGAGCGAGGTGGGAGGGGGGATCGGGATGGGGAATACATGTATATCCATGGCTGATTCATGTCAATGTATGACAAAAACCACCTCCAACTAATAAAAAAGAAAAAAAATAGGAAAAAAGAAATGTCCTCATTGTTTTACACCCTTATGATTCCCATGTTAAACCCTCTGATTTACAGCCTAAGGAATGAAGATGTGAAACAGGCCCTAGTAATATTGAAAACTAAATTGAATTTTTAAATATTTATATCATATGTATGTGTACACACCCACACAAATATATAGTACTTGTTTAATTAAAAAAGTATATGACATAACACATGAGAAATATAAATTTCTTAAGTTCCTAATGAAAGAAGTATTTGGATTAAATCCCAGTCCTAAAATATATTGCAGTTCCCTTCACAAGTCTGCTTAGTCTGTGTCCAGAATTTAAATGTGGCACTGTTTTTAAAAAACTTTTGACTTCTCTAATTATGGTAATTTTTGTTTCAGTTTTTCATTAAAATGTTATTTCAATTACCCTAAGTCTTATTGTGTATTTACTGAGCATTTTCAGCGCTTATTTCCTTTATATGTTATAGTACATCTTGTAGATTCTGTACTAAAAGTTGCTAGTGTTAATATTAAACATTAAGGAAATAAACATTCAAGCAATTCATAATAAGACTTAAAATCATTATGAAATAAAAATTGAGAGCTGTAAATCCAAAGGCAAAATGTCCAAAACTATTGTAAAAGAAAGATATATGTATATGTATATACATATATGTAAGTATATATATATATATACACACACACACACATATATATGTATGTGTATACATACAAGTGCTGTTCTGTATTTAGTTGCTCAGTCATGTCTGACTCTTTGCTACCCCATGGACTGTAGCCCACCAGGCTCCTCTGCCCATGGGGATTCTCCGGGAAAGAATACTGGAGTGGGTTGCCATGCCCTCCTCTAGGGCATCTTCTCAATCCATGGATTGGAACTCCATGTCTCATGTTTCCTGCATTGGCAGGCAGGTTCTTTACCACTAGTGCCACCTGGAAAGCCCATGTTAATATATGTAAGTTCATGTATATATACATATATATATATACACACACATACATATATATATATATATATATATATACAGCATAATTGGATATACATATTGTTTAAACATGTATACAACAGTTTTTTTTGGGGGAGGAGGAATGCAGATGAATTAGTTGTGGACACTAATAATGGATCTATAAAGACATGCATAATGATTACATTAGAAATAAACAGCTATGAATTATTGATGTTTATCTTTGTTCTTGTTTCCTGAAGGTTAAGCACTGAATCAGTTTGTTGAGAAAGTGAAGATATGGCCATATATTTGAAGGGCCATAAGCTACGGAAAGACTGTTCATTATCCATTAAAATTTTAAAAGCTAAAAGCCAAGGTTTGTCTTAAATTTTCTAGTTCCCATTCTAAAATATCCTTATGTGAATGTATTTCAGAGTGGAAGTAAGGTCAAAGAACTTACTGTGTTATTCAAAATTTTGTTTGTAAGACTTTATAGCATATTGGGCTTCTCAGATGTCTCAGTTGTAAAGAATCTGCCTGCCAATGCAGGAGATGCAGGAGACATGGGTTTGATCCCTGGGTGAGGAATTCCCCCTGGAGAAGGAAATTACAACCCACTCCAGTATTTTTGCTCAGAGAATCCCATGAAAAGAGGAGTCTGGCAGGCTACAGCTTATAGCATTGCTAAGAGTCAAACACGACTGAGCTCACAAACATGCATGGCATATTAGGGAAAATGCTCATGGTGGAAAAATACTGCAAAGAATTTTTATTTTAGATAAAAGATTTATAGGTTTCTAATCCTAGCATATTTTATCATTTTATCAAACTCTGTTGGAACTGTTGCTTATGAAAAACAGCTTGATCAGAGCACTGTCTGAAAATTAAAGTCTAAGAAAAATGGGGCATCAATGGATTGTGATGTAACATATTGTCTAATTAATCCATTTCCATTCATATGACAGATATTTGTTACATTATCTAAAGACTGATATGATTTGCATATTGGTCCATTTTATTGGATCCAATGTAAGTGATATGAAAATGAAAGATAATTTGAGCCCATTAATTGATAGCCAAAGATAGAATTGCAGCAAACAACATCTAGATAATATCTGGCTTTCATGTCTGGAATTACAGATGTTAAAGATGAAATCATGGGAATATTTTTTAGGGAATATATAATTCAAATAGAAGCTTGGGCATGGTGTGTAAAGACTCTCCTATAATGAAATTTTACAGAAATAGGGAGCAACATATCAAAAGGCTCTAATGTATTCTAGCCAGTCTACTTCAGTCTTCATCACTATCTTT